TGGAGGCAGTGGAGGGGGTGGGGATGGTGGTGGGAGTGGTGGCGGGGGTGGCGGTGGCGGTGGCAGCAGTGGAGGCGGCGGAGGCGGCGGTGGTTGCGGAGGGAGCGCAGGAGGAGGAGGTGGCGGAGGCGGTGGAGGTGGCGAAGGCGGTGGCGGCGGCGACGGTGGAGCTGGTCGGGACTCCGCACAGAGGAGTGGCTCAGGTGGTGGCCCGCGCCAGCAGCAGCAGCGCGGTCGTGAGGCCCTGTCCCCTCAGCAGCTTCGTGAGTGGTACGCTGCGCGTCAGCGCGGTGGGGGTACTGGTCCCTGTACCTACGTCCTCCGTACCGGCGATCGCGTTGGTGAGCAGTGCAGGGGCCCGCACTCCACCCAGCGCTGCTTCAGCCGCCTCACGGACGCGTGGTGTCACTAGTTCCCTGAGGCGTGAGAGATTCCTTGATGGGGAGATCTGTCTAGGGCGGGGGTTGCCATCTTTGATCTTCACTATGATGCTATCCTTGCTGCCATGTATGCTATGACTACTAGTGTTGAGGGTGACAGTTACTTGTGTGTACCGCCTGACCCAGGCATTGAGGCTACTGCTCTAGGTGCTGGTGAGGCTGCTGCTCTAGGTGCTAGTGCATCTGCTGCCCCAGGTGCTAGTGCGTCTGCTGCCCCATGTGCTGGTGAGTCTGCTCTCTCAGGTACTACGTCGGCTCAGGCCTTACACACCTTCACCCTGGACTCGGGTGTGTCCCGCTCCTTCTTTTGAGACCGCACCACGCTTACGCCGCTTAGTCGGCCGGTTGCAGTCTCCCTGGCGGACCCCTCTGGGGGTCCTGTCCTTGCTAGCTTCTCCACTGTCTTACCGTGCCCAGCAGCCCCCTCTGGTACCCTGTCAAGTCTCCACCTTCCCTCGTTCTCTACGAACTTGGTGAGTGGAGCCGACCTACAGGATAGGGGGGTTGACTTGTTCACTCTTGCGAGTCAGCGGGTGACCCACTGCACGTGTGCTCAGATAGGCCGACACTTGGCCACGTTCACCTGTCGGCCGAGGTCGAACCTGTACACTCTTACTATTGAGTCTCCTCCGGCTGTCGAGTCTAGCCAGGTAGTTGCGTCGAGTCAGGTGTTTGCTGCAGCGTCCAGGTCTGGTCCTAAGTCTGCTCCCTGCTTGTGTCGTCTCCTATCCCACCAGACTCTCCTTTTGCACCATAGTTTTGGTCACCCCTCCCTGCCTCATCTCCGAGGCATGGCCTCCCGTGTCCTTGTCTCTGGTCTCCCCCGGTCTCTCCCTCTCCTACCTCCGGGGCCTGGCCCTACCTGCGTCCCCTGCGTCGAGGGGCGACAGCGCGTCGCCCCTCACTCCTCCGAGTTTCCTCCGACAGAGGCTCCGCTGTAGACTCTTCGCATCGACGTGTGGGGCCTCGCCCGCGTCCGTGGACAGGGGCACGAGCGTTAATTCCTATTGGTGGTCGACGACTACTCGCGTTACACCACAGTCTTCCCCTTGCGCAGCAAGGGGGATGTCACTGAGGTGTTGATCGAATGGATCCGCGCAGCTCTTCTCCAGCTCAGGGAGAGTTTCGACTCGGACTTTCCTGTTCTGTGTCTGCACTCTGACAAAGGCGGGGATTTTCTTCTGCCCGTCAGGGAGCCTTCTATCGGGCACTAGGCATCCGCCAGACCTTCACGCTTCCGGCCTCTCCACAGCAAAATGGGATTGCTGAGCGCCGCATTGGCATGGTCATAGACGTCGCTCGTACGTCCATGATGCATGCGGCTGCCCCCCATTTTCTGTGGTCGGTGCAGTTCAGTACGCACCGCATCAGCTCAACCTTCAGCCCCGGGTCTCCTTGCCAGAGACCTCGCCCGCCTTGCGGTAGACGGGGAAGGTTGGCGATGCCTCTGCGTTTCGGGTCTGGGGATCTCGGGCGTTTGTCCGCGACTTGTCTGCGGACAAGCCATCCCCCCGTGCTGTTCCGTGTGTCTTCCTTGGCTTCCCCCCTTACGAGCCTGGTTGGGAGTTTTACCACCCCACCTTGCGCCGTGTTCTGTCCTCCCAGGACGTCACCTTTGACGGGTCGGTGCCTTACTACCGTCTCTTCCCCTACCGCATTGCGCCCCTCCCCCCGCCGCCGCTCTTCCTTGCGCTAGGTCCTCCCTCGGTAGACCCCCTCCCCCCTCAGGGTCCTGCCCCGTCAGGTGTGTCCCAGGTAGACGCAGTTGAGCCTGTCGAGGTAGCTGTTGACCCTGGTGCTGTTAGAGATGCTGAGCCTGCGGGTGCCGGGTCTAGAGGTGCTGAGTCTGGGGGTGCTGAGCCTAGGGGTGATGAGTCTGGGGGTGCTGAGCCTGGAGGTTCTGAGTCTTGGGGTGCTGAGCCTGGGGGTGCTGAGTTTGGAGGTGCTGAGCCTGGGGGTGCTGAGTCTGGGGGCCGGAGCCTGGGGGTGCTAAGCTTGGGGGCGCTGGGTCTGCTCGTGTGGCCGCCGGCGGTGCTTCGTCGAGGCGAGAGCCATTCTCTCCACACGAGATGCGCGAGTGGTTTGCCCGACGCTGGAGTTGGGCTGCTGGAGTTGGTCCTGCTGTAGCTGCTGGCGGTACTTGAGCTGCCGCTCCTGCTGGAGTTGGTGCTGCTGGAGCTGTTGGAGCTGGAGCTACTAGGGGTGTTGGCGCTGGTGTTTCTGCTGGCGCTGGTGCGTCTGAGGGTGCTGGAGTTGGCACTGTTGGAGGTGGAGGTGCTACTGGCGCTGGTGCTGCCGCTGGGGGTACTGGTACTGTCCTTACTGGTTTTTGAGGCGCTGCGCGGCGGAGGCCGTACTTCGTTCCGCTCCTTGAGCAGGTTCTTGGTCTCCCGCCCTCTACTGGTCCTGCTCCTCCCTTAGAGTGTCGACAGCCTGTCCAGTCACAGTCATAGCTACAGCCCGCCTCCCCCCTACCTGCTCCTTCTCCCTTCACTGGTCCTACTGGAGGTCTTGCTGAGAGTCGTGAGCCTACCTCTCGTCCTGCGTCGCCTGTTCGTACTGCTCGCACTAGTCGTCGTGTTCCACGTCCGCGTCCTCTTGTGGTCCGAGGCACACACCAGATGGCACTATGTCCTTCCACTACTCCTCTACGTGTCCCGTTGCCGTCTCCTCAAGAGTCCTCTCTTCGTGTTCTTGCTGACCCTGAGTCTGACTCTCTTCGTGCTGCCAGTCCTACTGCTTGCGGCTCTTGGGTTTGCTCCTTCTACAACCGACCCGTCCCTGTTTCTGCGCACCGACACCTCTTTGCTGCTGTTCTACATCCTCGTGTACGTCGACTACTTGGTCTTTGCCACTGCTGACACTGCTGGACTCGCCCACATGAAGTATGAGCTGCAGAAGAGACACACGTGCACAAATCCGGGGGAACTGCACAACTACCTTGGCTTGCAGATCACCCGGGACAGAGCACAGCGCACCATTACCCTGACTCAGTCACACATGGTGCAGCAGGTCCTTCAGCGCTTCGACTTCACGTACTCCTCGCCTCATGTGACTCCTCTGTCTACTCGCCACTCGCTCTCAGCTCTGCCTTCGGATGAGTCCGTAGAGCTGAGTGGCTTGTACCTAGAGCTTGTTGGCTGCCTCATGTACCTGATGACCTGCACACGACCTGACCTTGCATACCCTCTTAGCATTTTGGCACGCTATGTTGCTCCTGGGAGACACCGACCAGAGCACATGGCTGCAGCGAAGAGGGTGTTGCGCTACTTATGCAGTACGTCGGGCATGGGGCTCGTGCTTGGAGGGTGACGTCGAGTGGTCCTCACAGGTCACGAAGATGCTTCTTGGGCTGACGACCAGGCTCTGCAGCGGTCGTCACAGGGTTACACCTTGAGCCTTGGCTCCGGCTCTGTTTCGTGGCGGTCTACCCGCTCGTCTTCTGCTCTCAGCTCCAGCTGTGAGGCTGAGATCTACGCGGGGGCCATAGCTGCACAGGAGCTACGCTGGCTCACCTACCTACTCACTGACCTAGGAGAGCCGCCTCGTTCTCCTTCAGTTCTGTACATGGACAACAAGGCCATGCTGGCCTTGTGTCGGGAGCACAGACTGGAGCATAGAACGAAGCACATTGCTCTTCACTACTTCCTTGCTCGTGATTTGTAGCAGCTTGGTCAGCTGCGCCTAACTTACGTGGCCTCTGATGCCAACACTGCTGATATCTTCACCAAGGCACTTCTGCCTTGTGATCTTCAGCGCTTCTGTACGATGTTAGGTCTTGTGCCTACTTGGCCTCACTTGCTCACTTCTTGACCTTGATTGTACTGTGATCTTTCTATACTTGCACTTGCTTGTTTACCTTTGTATATGCTCTTGCATGTGAACTGGCCTTTTGGCGTTGCTCTTGTGCTCGGAGTGTGTGGTGACTCATTGATCCACCCTGAGCTTGCTTTGTTTTGCTTGACTGGTCTTGTAACCTCTTATTCTCCCCCACTTTGCCTATGGGGGTGTGTCAAACTTATATTCTATGCTATAGTCTGTGTAGGCTTTAGTGGGGTAGAGAATATGGTGTACATCACTTCTAGGTTTTCCTACTTGGACCCACCTGCTTGCTAGTTCATTCATTTTTTCCTCAATTCTCACACTGACGAAATCCCCCCTGGCTCGCTTGGCAAAATTGCCGCAGGAGGTGCACATTCGCGAAATCTGCAACATTTGAGCAGGTGGTGACTGGGATACTTGACTGTACATCACATTCTTGGAACTTTTCAGCAGCGATCCTCTTTGCGTTGGCATCGATTTACATCGCTTGGGTGAAATATACTTTCAAGTATTATTTATTTAGCACAATCATATGGCGTGGCATGGCGTGGCATGGCATGCACTCCAATAAATGCCCACAACCCACCTTGGCATCATCGGCAAAGTTCTGGAGGCTGCGCATCTGGAAGATGGATTAGGCAACATCCCCCCACGCACGCCCCTTCTCTCCCTCTCCCTTCCCCCCTTTCCCTCCCCCTCCCCCTCCCCCTTCCCCTCTCCCCCTCCCGCTCCCTCTCC